ATGTATAAGAATCCTAGCGGCACGAAGAATGGAGCGAGAAATAATGGCGCCGTTAATTTGATTCGGTCACAGGTGGTACGATCTCGATGACAGACGCCAGCGGCAAGCCGTATGTCGGTGGAGCCGGAAACGGATCGACGGCGTCGGTGGCGACTTCCGGTAGCGTGGCTAGTACAGCCTCGCCCCTTAGGAGCTCCCTGAAGAAGCCGAAACCTCTCGGCATTCATAATCCTGGCTTCTCGACACACAGCCCGACCCTGTCGAGGAACGGCTCGCAGAAGAAAGTGCGTATACAGACGCATTCGACGGAAGTTTAGCCGACGCTCTCTTCTCGGCACGTTGTCAGCGTGAGAGTTTGCTACGTGCTTGTGACGACGCAGCACCGCGTCGTCATTTAAGGCTGTTGCAATAGGAAACGGAATGGCGATGACAAGACGTCTACTCCAAGTAGCTCCATGTTCCATTAACGGTAGGTGGTCTCCAATATTAACCAGCGTTGATCTCACCGGCCGCGCCGCGATCAAGTCCGTATCGAACAATCTTCGCTGCTTCACCACGGCCGATGATATGGTAATCACGCCATCCGTACTTTCGATGATGAAACTTTCAATATGTTCCAAAGGCGCGAACCAAGTCGTTGGCGAGTTTGGCATAATGTTACGACAACAGAATGTAAATAAGCTTGTGTTACGATCAATAATCGCCGGAACTCTCCGAAGCTACCTGAGTTGAATATCAAACGATTAATGCTGACTTGTTGAGTACTAGAATCTTTCCAATTTTTCTACAATATCTTTACACAACATACATTCGTAAGTGGACTAATGGAGTACAAGTAAACTCTAAAGTAAAAAAGGGACAGAATAGGATGGACTAAAATAGATCATATGTTGAAGGAAATAAACAATTATTCTGTTATCATTTCTAATGACGTAGCATTTTTAATAGTTGAGAAAACTTTACATAAAAGTACACACGCATACTGAACGCACATGAATTTTACAAAATGTCGAATAAAAAAAGTCGACTTTAATTTACATGTCGATAAATGCCTGAAACATCTATCATTACAAAAATTGCTCGTATACATTTACAGTAAATAAAAAATCGGCTTTACTACGTGTTTCACAAATTTTACAAATAATATATGTACAATTACGAAATAGAAATCGACAAACATAACGTGATAGCGAAACTTGGTTAATTTTGTGTTGATTTGTTAAATAATTCTATTCTATCTTAATCCATCTTACTCTCTTGCCTTGTATAAGTAATTCTACATGCCAAAAAGTAAAATTGACAATGAGCAAAAAAACCGTGGATAACAATCTTTAAAAATTATTTGTGAAAGTTTATTTTTGCGAATAAGCGTATGAAAATTCGTACTTGACGTACTGTCGAATTACAAGTCTCATCTTTATTTTACACTCTTTTCTGTTTATTGAGAAATTTGTTATTACTTATCAAAAGAGAGTCTTTAAATGCAATTAAATTTGCAACTTATCTTATTATGAAAATATATTAGAAATTATTTTACTTGTGATAAAACATGATTATTTCAGTTATGTGGAAAGTTCTTTTATTACCTAATCGTCAAAAATTCAAAATGCAATAAAGAACCATTGCTTCATTATTTAGCACGATTTCAAATGTCAAATTGTTTAATTGTACATTAAAATGGTTAAATTAAATTAAAACTGTTTAATATCGGATTTCTCCATTCGTTAGATATATACACATAAAACCGAAATAATTGTTACAAAATTATGTTTTAATTTGACCATACTAGATATCGTACATCTACCATTGAATTTCATTAGTAATTGCGATAATTCTCGAAAATATTTTCATATTTTCAAAAGTTCAAAGGACAGAGATTGTTAGATTGTGAAAGAAATTGTTAAAAATATGTATAAACTTTTACATAATGTAAGACATACACGGCAATGAACCGTTACCGAATTTTATAATTGACTTGTTGAACATTTTTTGACCTAATATATGAATATTAATGGTATAATTACGTATTGTTGTTAGTATTATTAATACTTCTCCGTCCAATCAAGTACTTCATAATAATTAGTATTAATATTCATTTATAATATTATTGTTTGGCTGAACGCGTGTTTTATTAAAGTAATATTCATGATACGTTACATCTATTACGTAGAAATTGTTGTGTGCTTTGAAAATGATATTATTTCATTGATTTATTATTCGATTTGTAAGGTGCGTAATCTACTTTAGTTTAATAAAAATAATTTTGATTGATAATTAAAGATTAATTGCACCAATTAACGCTAATCGTATCGAAAATTATAGCACTTTAAGTGTTACACGTTGAATTTTACAATTGATAAAATTATTTAACAGCAAATTTCCGGAATTGGTTAGATTAAACTAGCATTGCAAAAATCAAGCTCCTTTCTATATTGTAAAGAATATAGCTTTTCTTGACAAACTTAATCGTTGATTATTACTATTCGGCATAACGGATTGCCGTGATCAAAAGTCGCAAGATACGTGATATGTTCTTTTCTTCTTTCTTTCCTTCCCTTCATATTTTCACGTTTTCTTTTATATTATGTATATTATTAGTTTTAGTAAAAGTTTTACTTTTCCTCGTCGCGAGAGAAAAGTGAAAATACAGCATTGCATCCGTCCAGCCCTATGTAGGCAGCTAGCTGTGAAAACGGCAAGAGAAAAAGAGATATATAAATACATAAATATATATATTTATATTTTATATAGTGGTTGTTTTAATATAATATATATTATATAATACACATATCTCTCTATATACATGTATGTACGTATGTATGTGTGTCTGAGAGGGGGGAAGGGAGGAGAGAGAGAAAGAGAGAGAGAGAGAGAGAGAAAGAAAGAGAGAGAATATACATATCTATGTATATGTATTTACATATGCAATACAAAAGTTTATTATCTGCGTGTCTCATGTTGTAAAGATTGTGATACGCATTTGTTTTTCTATCCGAATAGTATTATTAAACATATTTCATCGCTTACAATTTCTTTCTATTGTAATTATTGTTACATTGTATAATACAATCAGCGTATTTTTATTTTTACACAAATATTTATATGACACTGTTCGGGAGAGAAAGTCGGCCTCGGTAAAATGTTAGTGTCGCGAATTATGAGCGTTTAAGATCGTCTTCTCAATCCATCGAGATGTTTTCCTAAATGAATGTTTGTTTATATATGCAAGATGTTTAATTTATTATCCTACGGCCCTCACAAAACAGTCGTACGAACACGAAATTAATCAAAGTGTAGAAGTTAAGTTTTAGGTTTATCTGGTAAGTCGAACGTAGCGAGATCAGTCGCGACTCCCTAAGTACACAATAAACTCTTGTATTGAAACCTTTGCAAAAGGTACCACCGGATTATTTGTTCCAGTATACTCTAATAGCAAGCATATTGCAATAATAGGTTAAAATTACTGTAGCAAAGATAATTTTGTTTCAGACTAAAATGAATTTCTCATTTCATTATGTTCTACCATAATAATTTTAATTATATGAAGGGGAAAATATTCAACTTGTTGAGATAATACAAAAGTGATATAAATATCATTGTTTTAAGAATCGGTTGTTCAATTACATTGGATTTATTATTTCATTCCTAAAGAAAAGCAAAAGAAAAAGTAACTTGTGTTACGTCTATTGTCAATTTGTTATAAACGTAAAATCCATTCGAATGGTTAAATTAGAAAGGAAGTGGTTTTAAAATATCCACTTTATGCTGGTGCAAAGTTCTCATTGCAAATATCACATTCTTTATATCATCCTACAATATTGTTGTGACATATTTAATTTCCTTGTTATCGTTCATACTAGATAATGTTAATAGTTAACTTCTGTTATTTAGATAGTGAGTCGGAATCAATAATGTGTAATCGTATATAATGTATATACTATACGCAAATATCCGTTTACCTTCTAAAGCGAACGATATGTTTATAATCACATTTGCACCTATCTATTTCTTAAGTCAGCTGTTTTTGTAAAGTTTGTACGTACTCAATGATATTATTGATAACGTGATATAAAGTGACTACACGATCGATATTATTATACAATATACCTCATATTACGCGTGATATTGGTCGTTTAATGGTCGTATATTAATATTATTGACACAATATATTGCGTTAATAATATTGATTGTGTAAATGCTATTCAAATGCTTGTCAAGGACGGCACGTAAAAAATTGGATAATAAACGAGTTTCAATAAAACGCAGACGTGGTTTTTATTGTTCTTGTAGACTTTTCATTTTTTTTACAGGATGTACAATATTCCTCATCAATTAACATAATAAATGAAAATTTCCAGAACAGGATTCTCGAACATATACGTATGCATATACATGTACGTTAAAGTTATTAAATCTAATACAGCAAGTATTATTACGTTTTAATTGGAAATTGCATTCTTTTCATTGTGATATAGTATTCCGTTATAGATATAGCAATATAATTTAGGCAAAGAACTGAAAAGTATTAAAAATGTTTTATCTTGTCCATCAAATGGATTTGATCTGACTAGGTTGAAATAAGACAACGCATAGTAAAAAAATCAACTTTTATTTATTAACTTACAGACACTGGAAAAGAAAACTAACGACACTGATATAATATAATATAATATAATATAACGCGTCTCTCACGACATTTCACGATAATAATGTTGTAGAGAGGACAAATTAGAAAAGACGAAGAAATTTCAAATTTCTCATCACTATCATCAGATGCCATCGGGTGAGTACAGCGAAGGTAATAATTTTCTGGCTGACATCAAGCTCGCGATAATTAGTGTCGATTAGTGTTTCTGTCGCGAGAAGTAGAGAAGATATAATCAGTTCTATGTATATTTTTCACGCCAATTTTCTTGTCCTTTCGAGTACGTGTTATTTAACTTTGTCAAGGTCCGTCCGACCGGTCGAAGGGTCGATAAAACCTCGTCGTGAAACGAGAATGCGCATTTCGTCACGGAGATCCTTCGGGAACACGAGGACGGCACTAGTATAGGAACCAACAAATATCTCGCGATATCAAATCGTGCGATCTTGCGAGATCATGAGAAATGTATTAAGGAACACTTTTCCGGGCCACGCTTGATCGGCAGTGACTATACCATTTGTTGAATCGAAATTCGAGATTGTGTGTATGAAAGTAAAGAGATATAATTTTCATCATGAATGAATCAAGGACAGTGCACTGTTTTCAGAGATAGCAAAACCTCATGATAGAATGGGGATCGTATAGCTCGACGACAGCAATTGGAAAATATTCCATTTTGCGAGAAAAATATCTCTCTCTTTCCTCAAACGTTTTTCTTTCATAGAATATCTTTGAGTAAATATATATAGAATATATTTCAGCATTCACATAGTAAGCCAATTCTAAGTTTCTTTCAACTATTGTACATATGTGGAGAGTTTTAACGGTAAGGTTTAGTACATGCCAGAAAACTCTAAATACATTTTGGTGAAAGAGTTTTTCTCGCACGTTCTTTTTTCTCAGCCATTTCTTCAACCTCATATTTATAAATATATATAAAATAACCTCAACAATTATTTATGTTTTCAATGTGACTTTGTATATTTAATAATCACTATACCATTTTTATATGAAATTAAGATAGCTGTTAATTTTCCCCTCTCTCACTTTTTCTATATTTTTCTTTTATAACGTTTATCTCTATATCCTTGCTTCTTCTTGTTCCTAAGGTACGAAGTACCGTATTGCTATCTCTAAAAACAATGTAAAATAAAAGAAAAAGAAGGCTATACAAGAAATAAAAGATGTGCCTTGCTCGGAACATCATGTTACGAGATTTCGTGAGATGTGGGTACTCTATTTACAATAATAAATTTAAGATTTGTCATCGAAAAGGAAGGAAATTTAGAGTTCCTTTTTTTTGTGACGTACAATGTTAATTTTAGAAATCTCTTTTTGCTAGAATAATTTAAATATTTTATTGTAAAGTTAGTTGAAAAAGCGGCGTATTGCAAAAGATGTCCATGAGCGTTAAAACTTTTCGTGTATCTTTCAATTATATCGATATTAAATTACATTATAGATCTGACGTACACATTGGAAGAAAAGGGGTTTGATAATAATCTAAATTATTATAAAAATAATAATGTAGATAATTCGACAAGCAATTTCGAATCTCGATTCGATATTATATGTAATCGCAGATAATAAATTAAAAGTATCCCTCCCTATCTTTTGGAGCACTGGAGATCAATTCTCGCCTCTTCCACACCGATTGCGCCGGCACGCGTTGCTTCTGCGTCGATACTGTCGAAGAGGCGGAGGAGGAAGGCGAAGTCGCCGACGTGGATGTCTCGCCAAGTGGTGTCTTGCCAGCCAAGGTGTTGGCATCGGGTATATGGCGCGTCTGATGCCTCGAGTCCGTGTATCGCCTCTTGGTGTACTTTTTGCTCTCGCTGGAGGTCACCGTCGAATTCTTGCTCGTTTGCAAGTTCGCGGGCTCGACATCTGACCGCGAGATCTGTAGCATTCTTTCGATATCGGCGGTCTTGGACCTGAATCACGCGAGCGTATGTTTGCGTTAGTTCGTATAGAGTACGAGCAGAATTTTTTAATGCAATTTTTAATGCAAAATCTTTTTTTATTGACAAAAGCGCCACTACAAGCCACTTTTAGAGGCGCTTTTATCGATAAAAGATGATTCAGAATACGGGCCTTAATATACATATATTTATACTTATATTACTTGTTTGTTTAGTAATGTTGAGCGCGTAAAATGATTTTAATGTTGCTAACAAAGGTAAAATTCCTGTAAATATTTATATAATATAGTAGGTGCTTGTGTGCAGTAGATGGGGACGAAAGTGAATGATTGCAGAGAGGAAAGCTCCCCTATGGATTAATTTCAATGTGCAGAACTTTGCAAAGAATTGAGGTAACCGTAGCAGCAGGCAACAGGACACTCACCTCAAAACCGCACCTCCGATACTAGTGATGCTTGGCGTGTATGGCACCGCTGTACTTCTACTTGCCTCCTGCTGGCCAGTGGATCTGTTGACCTGCTTTACCTCACTCGAGGTCGTGAATGAGACTCTCTGGAGAACCGCCTGCTGATCCGGGATGTATGAAACAGCGGTGACCGCACTGTCGGGACTCGCCGGAGGCGACGACGCCCACGAGGGCGGGGAACTCAACGCTTGATCGCCTGATAGGGTCGCCGAGGAACCCACGGCACTGTCACTTCCGTGTCGTCCTCCTGAGACACACATTAGAAACTTTGTTTATTTCATTCATCATTTTATCACGAGATGTGCGTGCGTTTGTATTTCGTAAGATTGACCAAAATGATATGCAATAGAAAATACAAACCTTCGCTGCAACCGGAAATGGATCTTTGCCTCTGTCGCCTCGGGGGAGCGCTCGGTTGCCTTGGTGCTTCCTCGATGTAAGGAATGTCCGGGTCGTCGAGGTTCAAGGTAAACGCGTCGGACATGGGTATGGTGAGACTGGCGGTAATAATTATCGGCGAAGATCTTCGCCGAGGATCGGACGGATCTTCACTCGATCCGCTATCGACACTGTTGCTCCTGCCCTCATCCTTCCTTCGACTTCCTGGTCTCTTTGGTCGTCGGTGCTTTGGTCCAATATCACCGCCGATACCCGCACTCTGATGTAAACATTGTTCTCTCGTCCACATCTGAAACAAAAGAAACGCTCTCTTTCTAGCAAACACTTTGACGAGTTATATATATATATTAATAACTAATATATAAAATAATGTTTAGACGTTTGTGTAAATAACGTCTTCATTTTCCATTCGCAATAAATGTCAATGAAAAAATATTTTATTATAATTATATCAGTTATACCAAACTTAATAAATGTTATATTATTTTGTGACCTTGAAATATTCATATTAAATTTTACATGTTTTAATTTACAAAGTCGTTTTCTAATATTGTACACCTATAAATGAATTGTTTTGATTTGAAGTAAGGTATCTTAAAAATAGATTTAAAGCAAATTGGAAGCGCGCGCGTGCGCGAGAAAGGGTGAGATATTGTTCTTGTTCTAAATGTTGTAACTCTTGTGACAATGTGCTTCTCAAAATAGTTTTTTGATGTATGATTTTAAAATAAATGTATCATTTCGTAGCACCTTTTTCGTCGTCGTTGTCGTCGACATAGTCAGCGTCTCCTCTACCGAGAACGTCTCCGCCTCGCTACAGGGATCTATATCATCTCCGCATTGACTGCAAAAACGTAGGAAACTTTGCTTTGATTTTCTTTGTCTATATACTGTTAAATTATGATTCGTAAGGACGCAAATATCTCGTAACTCTGACAGTATCGCTCCTCACAGACAAGACAGTTTATTGGTTGAAAATTTTCACAACACAAATTCACGACTCTAAGAGGGCTTTTATGAAAACTACACCGACAAAACATTGAATTAAAAGTGGTTGTAGAAATATGTACAGA